GGTAATGACTTAGCCAGCAGATTTAGAGGTTTCCCCCTCGACTGCTCGATGTCTTGTTTTTATTGTCCATCCATCTACTATTAGCACTATTTCAGAAATGTGTGTTAATTGTCACAGGGATGAAAGGGGCAACATGGGGATACAGTCACTGGGATTGTGAGGAGGTTGTGTGGGGACAGATGGCAGCCACACTCATGGGGAGCTGAGCTCACGACCAGCCTTACGCAGTTGCTGTTGGCCACAACACCAACGTACTATTGTGTGTCGATCACATGACGACACTGTGCTAACCAGAGTCCTAACCTAACTTCATACTAGAGAATTCCTCTGGAACACAGAAAAGGCACGTGTCCATACCTGTGATTTAAGAAGCGATGCAGTACACGCCATTACCTATTTGAGTGCAGTCACTCTTACTAAGCTGAAACTTTACTGTTACTAGACATTAGATACTCATATATTGGCTTACATAAAATACTTTAACTTTGGAAACTTAAGTACAAAAATAGACTTGATAACTAATAAAAAATAACTGGTCTGCCCAGAGCAAGCGTACTCTGCAAGACAGACCCACCAGGGACAGTCAGCACTGTCTATGGTCCGGAGGCTCCTGGCTGTGATGGGGCTGGCAGGCAGCCCTCTTGTCAGAGGCGAGAACTGCATCTGGCCGAGGAGAGCAGCACATTCAAGGGAAAAATTGTCAGCACTCTGCAGGCACTTTTCAACTACACACTCTCAGCAAACTGGCTCCTGCTGTAAGCCCGCCAGCCCCCACCATGCAAACCTCACTCAGCCATCCCTCCTCGAGCCCAGCCCTATGGACCACGCTCCCAAGACCACAGCACTGCACAACACAAGGCTTCCAAGAGAAGGCAACTGTGATCAACAGCTGTAAGCGAATAAAAGAAAGACCCAGTGCTGCTCTAGGAAGGGCTGACCCTCAATCTGAACTCTTTTGGATATTTTAGTATTTATGGTAAACCGTCTCTTACTAAGATACGACAGAATGTCGCTGCCTCCGCTGCCTGCTATTTGCGGAAGGAAGTGTCCTTCAGGCTCACTTTCCCTGGGTCTCTAAAGAATTTCCTTTGGGTGGGGGGGTTACAATCCACCCAGACGCAAAAGGGGAGGGAGGTGAGCTCCACAGGCGCCTCCCAGGAGAGCCACGCCTGGTTTCCAAGTAGCTGGCTTCCTGAGAAAGGGAAACCTGCAAACTTAAACATACTAAGAACACTCTGGAAAAGAAGAGCTTTGTACAAATGTCTCCTGATAAAAGTGAACCTAGCACTTGACCTGGTAGTGCCCACGGAGTGTCTGGGGTGCTGGGCTCGTGTCAGCTGACCAGTGTGGAGGCCCGGCCACGCAGGGGCTGTGGGGCGTTGGCGGGTGTGGGGGTGAGTGTGTAGTCCCTGGTTGGCGGAGCTCTGGGTCCCACCTCCAGGGAAACAGGGGCGGGGCAGAGAGGTGGCGGCAAAGGCAGGGACACGAGCCAGGACCAGAGGCCTGGCTTCTCCCACAAGTCACTGGCATGAAGTGGGGGTCTTCTCAACAAGATGAGAGAAGAGCAGTCATGGCCATGTGCAGTGAGCAGATTGTGTTTGGAGCCCAGTTTGAACAAACCGGGTATTAAGAGGCACTTTAGGCAAGGGGGCAAATTCAAGTATGTCCCTGGTATTGGAGGACAGCAAGGCCTCACTGATCCTTTGACTGTCTGTGTGCCATGCAAGGAGGTGTCCTCTGCTCCAGAGGTGCATGCAGTTTTGAGGGCAGCTGTCACATGTCAGGACCCACATGGAAGTCCTATAGCACCAAACGCAGAGAAAAAGGAAAAGGACAGAGGCCATGTGCAAGGTCCAACTTTGGGAAAACTGAATGGAGGAATGGCTGGGGTGTGTTTACTCCCTGTTCTGCTTTTGCATATTTTGCAAACTTTCTAAATAAAGAGCTAAAAAAATCAACTCCAGAAAATGAAGTTTCACTGAGGAAACAACATCCCTTTAGAGGAAGGCCTGGTAGAAGCTGTTGGGAGTGTCGGAGAGCAGCACTGACTGCGGATCTCCAGGACTAGAGCGTGACAAGGCGCCTGCTGCCGTCTGCAGCCCTGGCTGTGCTGGGGAGCAGGGCTAGACAGACCCATCCCAGGGAGGCCTACTGCCCAGACACTTAAAACAGGACAACGTAGGTTGGTTGAAGGCAATACTGGGCACATTCATTAGAAGAGAGAGTCTAGGAAAAGCCTTTTTCATAGTAACTCTTCCCCACACAGATCCAAGGTTAGCTTTCTAAGTGACAACCAGGGGGGAAACAAAGTGTCTAGAACGTGCTATTCCACCTCCTGGTTCCTAACCGGCCCACCTCCTGCCCTTCCACCCAAGTCGCGGCATCTCCTCACAGACACTTTTGAGCCAATACAACACAGAGGGCAGGCCTCTGGGGCAGGTGCAAGGGACACACACTGAGCGCGAGTCCCGCAGACCACAGTAAGGAGACTGTGGCATAGGTTTAAGGCAGCTACAAACATGGAAAATCTATACACTTAGCAAAAGGCCTCTGCTGGTGTTCAATCAACACAGATGACAAAAGAAAGACTGTGACCGGAAATAGACAGCAGGCTACTTGGTGTGCATTCACATGCCCCCAAGGCAGAGAATTTCAAGTCCTGCACACAGGCACAGAGGGGAGGCCTGCGGTCACCAAGGGAAGTGGAAGAAACGGAGCCTTTAACATGGCATTGCTCTACTAGTGGAGACCAGAAGGAATAAGCTACAGAAATAAAAAAAAAAAAACCCCAATCTCCGGACTTATTTGACAAAGTCAACGGTGTCCATCCAGGTTTCTCCTCTGATGTCCACAGACGAACACAGTCTGTGCCGTGGGCAGCAGCTCTGACTTTTGGATATTTTAGTATTTATGGTAAACCGTCTCTTACTAAGATACGACAGAATGTCGCTGCCTCCGCTGCCTGCTATTTGCGGAAGGAAGTGTCCTTCAGGCTCACTTTCCCTGGGTCTCTAAAGAATTTCCTTTGGGTGGGGGGTTACAATCCACCCAGATGCAAAAGGGGAGGGAGGTGGCACAGGTCCCGGCCTTGGCAGGTGTGCCTGCCTGGTGGGCAGGCCACCTCAGCCCGTCTGACCTTTCCCACGGCCTTGGAAACAGACTCCATCCATGACAGGGCTGTTACAAACAGCTGGCGACTGTGTATCATATGCTACCTGACCTGAAGGAAACGATATTCCCACAGGAAGAGTTAACATATAAGCCCTCAACATGTGCAGAGCTCCAGGCTGCTAAGTTTTAGTGAACAACCCACTCCCTGGGTCCAAAGGAGACAGCTCTGTCAGGTTCTGCTTTTTCTGCAACCAGATATCTTCTATCCCTACTAAGCTAGATAGAAGAAAACAGTTCAAACTTACACTGCATTTTAAATCAAAGTTTCTCCAAGCCCACTACGTAAATAGAGCGCTACTTCTGGGCCTAAGGTCAGTGGATGAACGCTCTGGTGCAAAGCACACCCCGGGCAGGGACAGGGACCTTGCCACGTGCTGCCGGAGAGCCCGGCAGGCAGCAAGCTGTGGTCTCCATGGCCTCTCCCAGGATCTGGGCTCTGCAGGCCGAACTTGAGACTCCATGCGGTGGCTGGACCAGTCAAACAAAACCCCATCCTAGTCAAGCATGAGCAGGGTGCTTCATCTTAAAAAGCAGCAGTAGGCATAACACACATGTTCCATGAAAGGTCAATGGGAATCAGAACTGTGTAACATTCGACATGGATAGCACCAGTTTTTAGTTGAACCAAACAAAGCATATGCCAGAAAAACAGAGCTATGAAGACTAACTGATCAGTCCCTAGCCTGAAACAGTTGTCTATCTTAAGCCTTTTAACATCATTCTAAGCCACAGTTTTATCCTTTGACATTCAAAACAGAATAATCAATCAGCGGATTAGGAAAAAGAAGAATTTCTAGCCATGAACACAGAATCCCTTCCTACATCTAAAAGGCAAAAATCTGAGCTCTCACTGGGTTATCCTGTAAGGGAGCCCAAGACTGGTCAAGATGGGTTTTTATCTATCCGCTCTCCTGGAGTCAAATTCTTTATGCTCTGCAAATCAAAAATGACTCTCTCTCCACTTGTCTGTGCAAAAGGGTTACTGAAGAAAAGGCTCACATCTAGGGGGGTCCCCGCCTCAGCACCCCAGGAGTCCGTGTCTGTGCTGCTGGAGTCCTCAGCTGTGGTTGGGGGGTAGCTGAGCTGCTCTAACTGGTCGATGAGGTCCGAGAGCTGGAAGGCTGAGCTGGCCTCAGAGTGGACTGAGCAGGCTGGGAAGTTGGCCATGGAGCTGGCCTCGGACTGATTGGCTGAGCTGGGGGTGCAAGCAGACAAGCCACCGTGAAGCGGCAGGTTGCTGAGGGAGCTGTTCTCAGACTGGTTGTTCCTCAGTGAGCTGGTCTCTGAGGGGCTCAGCAGGCTCTGCATCAGACTGGCTTGTGCCTTTACCTCAAACAGCTCACAGGTGTCTGAGGGGTGCACATCACCACCAAAGCCACCCTCTCCCTCAAATGCAAAACCATGCTTGAGGCGCCCGCGCGTGGCCTCGGTGGGGTACCGGTCTGGGCTGGACGGGGCGGAGCCTGAGTGAGCGCAGGAAGGGGCCTGCGGGGCTGGTGCACAGTAAGGGAAGGAAAAGGCCTCTGAGCCTCCAGCAAAGAACGAGATGTCTGCCGGGTCATCATCTATGAACTCCTCAGATACCTGCAGCCGGCCGTTTGTCAATGTGAACACAGGTCCCCCTGCACTGTCCTGCTGGCCATGCGGATGCTCCCCCTGAGCGGGGGCGGAGCCCACGATTGAGCCACTGCCACCCCCACGGTCGCTTTTACCAGCAGCTCTACACTCCCTGCCAGCAACCCCCGCAGCTAAGTCTATGGTGGTGTCGTGACTCTGCCCCACGGGAGGGCTTGGGCTGCAACTCCTGACCACTCGACCCAACCCAACACCTTGACAAGGCTGCAGCGGAGGGGGCCCCGGGGACTGGGCCCATCGGGTGTCGCCATCGGCTGCTGCTCCGCTGCTCCTCTCTGCAGCTGGCCTCTTGGTGTCTGGAGCCTGGGGCTCTGTGAGGGAGCCGCTGCTGTCTTTGAAATCGGGTGGGCCTCGAGGGGCCAGAGGGGAGGTAGGAACTGAATAGAAGGAAGCATTTGTTGAAGATGGGGACGCAGAAGTCCTCATGCCCTCGGTGAATGAGATGCTCTGGAGGTCACAAGTGAAGAAAAAAAAGAGGAACACATAAAATTACACATTACCATTTGAAAGTTGCAGAGCTAGCTGGACCCAAGCTAGTAGGTCCACACTTTTCTACCTCAGCCTCTGCTAAGGCCAACTGACCAGACTTTCCTCATTAGAACTGAAGATTTGTAAACACAGTTTTTCAAAAGGACCCAGAATCATGTTTAAAATCCCTCATAATTTCATTTTTTTCTCTTCTGTCATTAAACGTCTATAGTGAAGAAAATTCCCATCATGAAAACCTAGCCATGTGTACCCGTATCTCCGGGGTGTTCTGCATCACTCTGAAGTTGCATGAGCACGTGTTGGGCACTCCTCACTTCCGGGGGCAAACGACAGCTAGAGGCTGTGAGCCATTACCACTCAGCTAACAGGACCCTAAAGCAAAGCACCCACAGGCAAACACACACCCAGATCCGGCCACACTGCTGGCGGCTCCCTGCCAGGGAGCAGAGAAGCACGTTGGTGGGCTCCCATGGGAACGAAGGCCGGTGGCCCAGCAGCCAGAGCTATTCAGGCAGGGCTGGCGCAGCCTCCAGCATGAGTGAGAAGAGGCTCACAGGCGGGGGAGAGTCAGCCTCCCAAGACACTGCCATGCCTCCAGGAAGCTCCAAATGACACGCACACACATGGCATCATCAAGAGGGTGTTTAGATCAAAATCTCACCCCAGAGTCCTGAGTAACTTGTGTGAGAGGAGCAGGGTGCGGCACAAGCGAAAAAGGAGGCTGAAGCCACAGTGGTGACCGACCAGAAATGAAACAGCAGCTCTCAGGCCACAGGTTCCTTGCTCAGATGCCCATCATTCAACCCTATCAACATTCTCTTGTGGTTTTTAAGACAGTATCAGAACTGAAAGTTTAAAAGCAATTTTTCAATATTCATACTATACATTCATACTATTTTATTTTGTAAATAGGCTCCTCGCTCAACGTGGGGCTTGAACTCACAACCCCCAGGTCAAGAGGTGCATGGCTCTCCCGACTCAGTCAGCCAGATGCCCCCATGCATACTCTTTTAGACTATTCAAAAAGTTGAACTTTGTTGAAAAAACAAAAATAAATTCTTTTAATTTGAATTGATTAAGCAAAAAATTTGTAAATAGGAAGTATACCTAGAAGAGCTAAAGAATGTTTTTATTTAAACGATCCAATGTAAAAAGTTTGGGACACATGAGCTTTGATAGGTAAGGTACAAGTGTAGCTTCTGGAAATACTATAAGAATATGAACGACCAACTGTCAACAAAAATTAAAACAAAAACGTGTAGACATAAAAAATCAATATGAAACTACGGAGCCATCTGAGGGGGCAGTAAGGGTATCACACAGCGAGAGATTCTCCGTGAAAGTGTGCTTACGCATGGAAGTGGACATGCAAACCTGAAAACAGGAAGCATCTAGCGGGGGAGGTGCAGAGCACAGGACCACCCATGTCCTGCCATGCTGGCTCTGTCTGCTGCTGCCACATTCTGGACAATGGGGCCGAGTGCTTTTCTCTGAAGTATTTGCGTGAAACTGTGTATGTGCCCTTGCTTTAAGAGTTGTAATCATGCCAAGCACAGATATAAATTTGTATCCTGCTTTTTACCCTTAACATGTTAGCAAAAAATCTCACTTCATGAATACAGTTTAATTAAGTAAACTAGTTCTGTAAGCTGGCATTTTACATTGTTTCAAACTTTTATAAAGGTAATATTCATTCAGTTGTTTTCCTGAAAACAAAGAGCAGTGTGAGCCCACTGCAGAAAACTGAAAGTACGAAGAGAAAATAAAATCACCTAGAGCCCTGTCAGAGAGGACACGTGACCCTGAGATTGCTGGCTCTAGCCTATCTTCTCTGGGCATCTGTCACTTCAGCTCAGAATGAGGACCTTATTACACAGGCTGCTTTGTATCTTGCTAGTTTGACTTGCTAACCCATTCTCGTGTGTCCCTAGCAACACACTGTTCTCCTAAAATGAGACCATTAGTGGTTCCAGAGCGTTCCTCAGCAAATGGGCACACCCAGGACTCTGCTGGTGAGTTGACCAGCACAGCTGTGAGTGTTCTGGGTTTCTAACGTCACAAAAATCCCCATCATGCACGTCTCAATGCACAAAGTTTTCTCCTTACTTAGGACTGCACCTCTGCCAACAGCCCCAGGATGGGAATCTGCAATTAAGCAGCGGGACTGACTCTGAGACTCCAGTTACAGCACTGCCAGAGGACTCCCCAAAGGTGTGCAGGGGACTAGTGTCACGTGTGCTTCAACCAGGAAGACTAACCTGCCTTGGCAAGTCTGCAGTCAGAGCACGAATAGACATCCGAGTCTTGCTGTGTCTTCTGCAAACAGAGAACAAAGTGTGAGCCACCACGTCAGCCTCTCCTGGGACTGAGGGCAGCCGCGCCCTGGGGAAGAAGGGGGCTAAGGCCTGATAACATGCCACAGGCATCTAGTTAGAAACAGGCAGAGGACAGAAAGTAAGAACTCAAATAAAAGACAGGTGTTGCAGAGGAGGTAAAATTATCCTCCATATTGAAGAAAAATTCCACACGCAAAAAAAACAAGGTGAATTTTTAGACCCAAAAGTTACCATGCTGCATGATTCGATCTGAGCTGAACTATGCAGATTAGAGCCTCAACAGCAGGACCTGAGGCTGCACACACAACAGGTATCAAGGTGTTCACCTGCTATCTTTCTCACACATGCTGCTGAAGCCAGCACCCACCTGCTATCTTTATAAGATAATTTGACTCAAGTCTCAAAATACGTGTTTACATATTTAAGAGGACGTCTGTTCAAAGAAAGGTTAAATATGTGAAATATTGATTTTAAAAGCACGTACTTCACAGCATAAAGACCATGGTGCTTACCTTTCGTATGGAACTCTCTTCACCCCACTGTCTCTGACATAATCCACCAGTTGTTTCTGTGTTCTTCCACTGTGAACAAAGGGAAAAGAACCAATAGCATTTCACAGCATTAGTCTTCACAGAGGCAAAGGAATGCTTGCCGACCCTCCAAGTTCACATGTACATTTTAAAGCTATGCTTTGCAGGAAGTGTAAGTGATTTTCTAGTTTCTATCGAAGCTATTTTTTCCATTGTTTTACTTGATATGCTTCTGCCACCGTTACTAGCTGCACGTGATTCTCCGACACACTTCCCAGCCCTTGTTTCTTGACAGTCTCAGTCCTGCACAGCCGCCAGGGCCTCCCGGGGCTGGGTACCTGCTGCTGCCCCACCTGTATCTGAAGGACGAGCCCCGGCTGAAGAAGACGGCTTTAGCTTTGGCCTTAGGTTGATCCAGGAGTCTAAAGAAGGTGTGATACTCCACACAGATCTTCCAGAAATTCTTGCATTCATCTCTACTGCCCAGCAAGAACTCCAGCGTGTCCTGGTAAGGTCCCTAGAAACAAAACATGAAGTCTCAAAACTAACTAATTCAAGAACATTTTGGAAGCATTCAGATAACAGGCTATTTATTCCAATGTTAAAAATTAGGAAAACATTGTTTTCTAAAAATTATCTATAAAGACTTCTGGTGCCATTTACATTTAAGAGAAAAAAAGCAGTATTAGCTTGTTCAACTACAGAAATGTTCAGAACAACACAGTCACCTATAATGACACAACTGCTAACACTTCCACATGCCCCTCATGACTCATCCCCCATAGCAAACCAGGGCACCCCCTCTGTCAGGCAACTATCCGTGGGCCATTGCTCAGTTGCTCTTCCGTGCGGCTCTGGGGCATTCCAGGTGTCCAGGACACATGGTTTCAAAGGCTCACACACGTCTTTTTTATTCTTAAAGATTTTATTTATTTGACAGGGAGAGAGAGAGAGACAGTGAGAGAAGGAACACAAGCAGGGGGAGCCAGAGAGGGAGAAGTAGGCTTCCCACGGAGCAAAGAGCCTGATTCGGCACTCAATCCCAGAACCCTGGGATCATGACCGGAGCTAAAGGCAGACGCTTAACAGCTGAGCCACCCAGGCACCACACACATCATCTTGAAGTAACTACTGTGTTATCTCTCATAGTTATTTCTTAGGATAAATTCTTAGAAACGTTATACTGAGCTTAAAATAATACACATTAAAAAAATATATTTATTTAAGTAATCTCTACACCCAACATGGGGCTGGAACTCATGACCCTAGGATCAAGAGTTGCATGCCCCAACAGAGCCAGCCAGGTGCCCCAACAATGCACATTTTTGAGCCTTGAGGCATATTACCGAATAACCTTCCAGAAAGACGATCCTACCTGGACTCCTAGATTCAGTATTTGAAACCTAAGTGCTGGGGGATCCAAGCTGCCACTCTGCCCAGGGTAGGTGTCGTCCTGGCTCTGAGCCTCAGTGAGTGGTAGCAGCGACCCCCCTTGTTCCCTGGAGGGGTGCCTGGGTGGCACCCAGTGGGTTAAGCCCCTGCCTTCAGCCTAGGTCACGATCTCAGGGTCCTGGGACTGAGCCCTGCATTGTGCTCTCTGCTCAGCCGGGAGCCTGCTTCCCCACCCACCCCTCTGCCTGACTGCCTCTCTGCCTACTTATGATCTCTGTCAAATAAATAAATAAAATCTTAAAAAAAACAAAACAACAAAAAAAAAACTGCCCTGGAAACAGTTCTTGCACTCACAGAAAAAAGCAGCCCTTTACCTGCATTTTGTGCATGTTTTTAGTATTCCTTAGACTTCCCTTTCATTCCTACAACACATACTTGAATAAGAAACCAGCCGCTCTTTCATACTTCTCCAGGAAGAAAATATGTGTGTGACACGTGCACCTGCTGTTTGACCAAAGCCTGGGAGACTGAGTGCCCTTCAGAAGCTGAGGGATGGCCCCTCGGCCCAGCACTCCCAGCATATCTGTGCAGAGATAGCCTTGTCAGCCTCCTGCAGTGGCACGGCCAGTCCACTCTCCGTCCCTACCCTCCTCTGTGTACTGGGACTACACCACCATGGACACTGTCAAATTGCAAGTATCGGATTTTTCCTATCAGACTGTATAGACAAGTACTTTATCCATTTCAGTAAATTCATGTGTAATTATTATTTTATGACTGATAGTCTCAAAAAGGAAGGAGTATTTATTTTCTGAAAATCAAGGCTTCTCCATTAGAGCTAGCAAAAGGTCAATTTCTGGATCCATGACGATCCTGGGAACGTCCTTACTCTGGACAGAAGCTCTAAGGCTAATCTGCTCTAAGACTGCAGATCACAGTTAAATACCTCATGTCTCAGCCTCCTGACCTGGAGAACAAAGACGCTGCAGCCAACCGACTGTTCTCAGCAGCCCCTGGCAGCTTCTCTCTCTTAACCTAGACCTGCTGAATCTGAAAGCCAGCCCTGTGATGAGTGGTGTGAGCAGCCCCTTCGGGACACTGACCCACGGTCATTAGAAGACCACCTGAGCAGATTACCCAAAGCCCTTCCACACCCCAATTCTAAATCCCCTCCCTAAATTCTTGTGTGCATGATGTGGAAGTGATTCATAAAATAATTAACAAGTCAACGTTCCAGGAGAATAAATTCTCTTGTAATTCAGAAAGTGCTTAAAATCATACTTACACGGACCTCTGGGTGCAGTTTGATGAGAAACCTTTTCCTCTTAAAACTGAGTTTTCGGACCCTGGACCAGTTGAAAGTGTTAATTTTGGTGGTGCCCTAAAATTCAAGAGATGGACACTCAGACACATTTGTAATCCACACAGACACACATACACAACTTTTCATGAAATAGAGAATGTTTAAATCACAACCTTGCCAGATAGCACAGCAATGTACTCGACATTTTGTATCTGGAATGACTCCGAATTAAAACGTCAATACTAAATATAAGAATTTACTCGTTTTAGAAGAGTCACTTGATTTCTTTGATAAGGCTTTCTTACAAATTATCTTTTATCAATGCCAATACTGAACACTCCTTGAAGCCCACCCCTGCAAAGAGGGTGGTCATGAGGAGTGATGGTGGTGGAAGGGCCGGGGTGGGAGCAGAGCCAGGATTCTTGCTGCAGGAGAGAGGATGCTGGGGGCTGCTGCCCTGGAGAGGGAGCTGGTGGCATGAGCTCCTGACACTCAGAGCAGCGACGGGCACACCAAGTGCTGTGGGTCTTGGGTTCTAGATATGATACTCCACTGGAAAGGCCAGGGCTCTGTGGTCTTCAGGGTGTAGTGGGCAAAGCTCCAATTGACCCTGGAATATCTGTTGTCTAAGAAAGTACACAAGTGCTCAATGGGATGGGACAGGCCCACCGGACACAAGTGCCTGCTTGGAGGATGTCCAAGGATCAGTGTGGGACAAGTCACAGATCGAAATGGATAGTGACAGCAGCAGATTATCAAGTGTCAGAGTATAACCCGAACTGTTATAATTCAAATTGTGATGCGAGTATAATACAAATCCATGAGTCCACAGTGATACGAAGTAAGTAAATACAGACAAAAACCCTTCCAGGAGCACAAAAAATGGCAGTAAATGAGTCACCACTTGGCAGCCATCAGAGTAATCCAACCAGGTGAGTGGGTGAGGTTAGAGACATCTACATGGCCTCAAACTCTCTTTCCACAAAAGGCTTATTAGTTACGAAGGACAAAAAGTAACTTTGCAGTAGACCATCTTGTCAAATGCCATCTGACCAAGTGTTCAATGTTGACACTGCCAGCAATGGGACAGATGGCACCATGGGCCACCTTGCAGCCATACCAAGAACATGGTCACTTTAATGATTTAGCTGAGAAGCTAGACTAGGGTCTGATCATCAGCAAGTATCCAACAAGCCTATATTGTAGTAATTCCACAGAATGACTGGCCTGTAATCATAAGAATCAGGGAAAAAAGGAAGAATGTTCCAGACAGGGCACAGTGCTTGACCTTAGATTGGATCTCTTGCAACAAATAAGATTAGGCAACTGGTGAAATCTGGATGGACGTCTCAGGTGAGTAAGTTCTTTGTACTGTTCCTGTAACTTTTCTGTAAGCTTTGCATTATTTCAGAATAAAAATTCAATGTTCTGAGATACCTTCCTGGTATTCTCCCCTCTACTCTTGACGATCATGATCATTTACTCTTCTCTGCAAACTTGAGATGGGGACAGCAAGATAGGGAATGGAGTCTTCCTTCAGAAACTCCAAAAACTTCAACCTTAAAGGGGGATGCCACCACATGGACCTGTTCTGAAAACAAGGGAAGAAGCCAGGCGTGAGGACCTGGTTTAGGTGCAGAGCCCGGGAGGAGAAGAGCCTGAGACAGGGCATAGCTCAGTGGCGGTGAGGGTGCGCAGAGTGGGTGATTGAAATCACTCTGGATTACACACGGTGATGGCTGCATGATTCTGTAAACACACTAAGAAGACATGAATGTATACTGGAAAGTGGTAAACTTTATCGTCAGTAATTTACATCTCCATGAAAACAATTCCTAAGTTAAGAGGTGTCCTGAAGCGGCACCTGGGTGGCTTAGTGGGTTAAGCCTCTGCCTTCAGCTTGGGTCATGGTCTCAGGGACCCGGGATGGAGCCCCGCATCGGGCTTGCTGCTCAGCGGGGAGCCTGCTTCCCCCTCTCTCTGCCTACCTCTCTGCCTACTTGTGATCTCTCTCTCTCTGTCAAATAAATAAATAAATAAAATCTTAAAAAAAAAAAAAAAAAGAGGTGTCCTGAAAGTCCCGATAGAAATGTTCGGGTCTCCATGAGAACAGAAGCATCCCGTATTTTTAAATACTGCCCAAACACTAATTACTCTAATTTCTGCTCATATTTTCAACTATGTTCTCAAAAAATTCAAGGAAACAAAATAAAAATAACCCAAATACAGAACATCAACAAAAGAAAACAGAAGCCTCCCTCCTGCGCCCTTACTCCTCACCACCCCCCACTGTTTTTAACCCCAGACATGGTTTATGTGCCTGGGCAGGGGCTGTAGGCAAGGCAGAGACGGTGTGCCCCCCAACACAGACACAGACCAGGTGAGAGAGGTCTCACACACGGGTGCTGCCTGCCTGCTCACCTTTCCACTTAACTCTTTTGGTAAAAAAAAAAAAGTGATATTCCAGAGTTTTAACCACTATCAGAATTCCAAAGAAGAAACAAAACCCGATCACAACTAGAGTGTTCAACTTTAAAAGTTTCAACTTTTAAAACTGAGCAGCTGGCTATAAACAGAGCTACTGCTTTCATTTTAATTTTTATCCAATAATCCATGGCACAATTATAAATGTCTAGGAAGGCTTGAGACAAGACCCAGCCATTCAGGGCCCTTCTGCTGGAGACCTGGCCCCTTGAGCCCTCCATACCCACTCTGCGGTGGCCAAATTTTAAATTTGGTTTTTATTTACTGATCATAAGAGTACTTCTCACAGGCCAAGCCATGGTGAATCCTAACTCTATTTTGCTTCTTTACTTTAAATTCTCCCTGAGATACTAAGTGCCTCTTCTCATTTACTCAATTTTCTAATTCAGCTCAAACTCTCCCTGTAGAATTTTTTTTTAAATTATTTTTTAGAGCGAGCGAGCGAGAGAGAGAGCACAAATGGGAGGGGCAGAGGGAGATGGAGAGAGCGAGCCCCAAGCAAGCTCTGCACTGAGCAGAGCCTGACGTGGTGCCCGAGCTCACAACTCTTGAGATCAGGACCTGAGCTAAAATCAAGAGTCGGATGCTCAACTGACCGTGCCACCCAGGGGCCCCATCCCTGCAGAGTTTAAAACTCTTCAGTGTGGTCTGATCCAGGAAACAATTCTCTCCATGCTGCACGCATGCTAATGGGTGCTCCCTGGGCAGCTTCCGACGTGCAGCCCATCCGCCACCATTCCCGGTCTGTTCTCTCCTCTGTCACGTGCTTTAAAAAGTGCTCAGCAGTCAAACCTTAGAAAAACTGTGTATCTGGAAAATGTTTTTATTTCCTCTGCACAGAAGTCACATTGGATGGGGCAGAGGATCCTGGGTGGGAAATGATTCTCTTTCACGTTCCGCACCACTGCCTGCCCTATTGTCGTGTATCCTCCAGTGCTGCCCCCACCGTTCCTTCCTTCTCCTTCTGGGAGCTCTCCGGTCTCCCCTGCGTTCTGACACTTCATGCTGGTGTGCCCTGTGGGTGATCTTCACTCATCGGCCATAGCAGGAACATGTAGGCACTTCCAATATAGACACTGGTGCCTTATGCTCTGGACACATTTCTCACGTGATTTCTGTAACAGTTTTCTCTGCTGCTCTGGGCTGTGGCCTCTAGGTCTCCTGGGTGCTGGAATGCTGGGCCTTTTGTGCTGTTCTCTGAATTGTCACTTGCCTCCTGCATCATGAATCCTCTATATGCTCTGTGGAGATTTCCTCAACTTCGGGCTCCAGAAAGCCTCACACTCTGCAGTATGGTCCTTTCTGCTACCGCATTTCTAGATCTGCATGCACTCCTGCTCTCTGTGTGTCCCTGTGACTACAGACTGCTTGTGTTTCATAGGCAGTTTTCTCTTCTGTGAGGCTTCCCAGGAAACATAAGGCAGTAACACATCAGCAAGGTTCAAAACCTCAGCAGGATGAGTCTCCAGGGAGAAGCCCCTTATCACCTGCTCCCAAAGCCTGCAGCTGCCTTCCCTTCCCAGCGGCTATTAATGCCACCTGTTTACTTTGTATGGTGTAGAGAGTGTGTCATTCTCCCACTCCTCCTCACAAGCAGTAGCAAACCATACATACTTTCATCTTTGCTCCACACAACAGTGCATCTCAATGTCCCATGTATCACGACATGTTCTTTGTGCAGTTGCCTGATAGTCCATAACATGGATGAACCAGCCTCCTGATGATCAGTTATCAATATTTTACTATTACAAATAAGGCTAAAATATAAAAATATAAAATTACAAGACAAAAATCTTTCATATCTGAGTCCTACTCCTCATGAGCATGACACAGTGTAAAGCGACTTTTCTGCATCTTGCCCATGAGACAGATAGAAGATGGCGTGCTTGCTGAGGATTCTACAGGGGTTCTCATCCCATTCCTGGCACAGGCTCTGTTTCTTCTCAACACTAATCTGGTATCTGTTCTTCAAGAGAGAGGATTTCCTTAAATTTCTGGTGATCCTTGGTTATCTGCCTTAGTTTAAAAGTGAGACCCCAGGACTGCAAGAGCCTGTGACCATCTGGTCACCAGCAAAATCTAGGGTCCATCTGGCAAGGGACAGAGTAACTGCATGGTCTTAAGGGTGTCTTTCCATGGACTGCTTACTGGTTTAAAGAGAAAAACTAGTAACTACAATAACCAGTAACTATTAACTAAAGTTAATAACTAGTAATCAAGACTAGTAATTAAGAACTAGAAAGCAGAGATCAAGATTCACACCATCAGTGAGGCGGGACGGTGTCTCAGTTGAGACTTTCTGTCAAGAACGTGACCACCTGGGTAGTGGGAACATGTCTCTGAACCTCATCCCAGGAAAACAAATGACAAACCAAAAATGGAGAATGTCCTATTAAAAATAAAAAGGACTGTGCTCAACACTGTCAATGTCCTGAAAGATGAAGAAAAGAAATGCTCTAGCTTTAAGGACACAGCAGATGCAACAGCTAAATGCCATGTCTGGGCCCTGTCCTGTAGGGATAAGCACCGTGAGGACATCAACTGGCTGGCTGACAACCCCGGAGAACGACCAGCACATCAGCTGCCTCAGTGACAATGGTCAGGCAGTGTTCCAGGATTACAAACATATGCCTTTAGTGGTCAAGGGTTCAGGAGTCTGCAGCCCATTCTCAAATGCTTCTGAAGAGTTATATGTGCGCGCATGTTCATGCGTGGCTGTGCGTGTACACGGAGTGGGGGTGAGGAAGCGTGCTGGGGAAAACACAAACCACAAAGCAAATGTGTAAAATGCTGTTGTGGGTGAAATCCAGGGTCAGGGCACATGAGGGCTCGCTGTGTTGTTCTAACTCTTACAGCTTTTCTGTAAGTTCGGAAGTTATTCCCGAATGAAAGTCTTTAAAACAGAAGGCTCTGAAATGCTGGCTGGAGGCTCTTTGTTGGGGGGAGGCGGGGGTAGGGAGCCAGGCCTGTTACCATGGGATGCCCCTGTGTCAACACCTGCAGGGCTCCCAGAAGGCCATGTGGACTTTCTGGACATCAGTCTCCTGTCTCTGAGATGTCAGCCTGTCCACCATTCCAGGGGAGCAGAGACGGGGAGGCCTGTGGCAACACGGAGTACAGGCTTTCCCTTAAACATCTACTTGGAGGCTCACCTCGTATTGTCCTCTGCCTTCTGAGCCAGACCCCGGAGAGGGAGGCCCTTGCCCTCTCCCAGTACAGGGAGGGGCTGCGGCTGTACCTGCTCCTCCCACAGATGCAACCAGGCTGTTATCAGCCCCAGCCTGCCCGGGGCCCACCAAGGTGCCCCCTAAACTCCTGCGGACACAGAAGTCTGGCCTCCCACTCCCTTCCCACTACTCTGCACTGCTCCCACTCATCTGCCCATTTCCCAACTTCTAAAACATCGCTGGCATTTGATTTCCTTTTCCAGTCTTTGTTGTTACTAGTTTAAATTTAAAACAAAACAAAAAACCCAACTCCTTCATTATCATTCTGGTGGGGGTTTGAGGGAATAATAATGAATACCATCTAATGTGCTTAATATGAAGTCTCTGATCCCTGCTTTTAACTTCTTCCAGTTACAAATTATCCTTTTCTGGAAAAATCACCTGAATTCGATTGGGATGGACGTGTGACTTTCATGTCTGCATGATACAGAAACGGTCATGTGAGCCAGCAGCTGTGGGAGGCCCTGGGTCCATCACCTCACACAGTGAGCCTGGTACCGTTTCCACCAATCACTCAGTATACGATAGAACACAATTAACATTCTGTTGACAAAATAAGATTTTTTTTTTCCCCTAATAGGAAATTGAAAACTTGATGGCTAGGTTAAAAATGAAAGGAAAAGAAAAAGAGAACAAGCGTGGCTTGACTATGGGGGCCTGGATCAGCTGAGCCATCCTAGATGACCATAGGTTAAAAAGAGCCCACAGGGGAAGGAGTGGCTAACGCAGGCCCTGGATGCCCAGGATGTACCCCCCCAATGGCGGTCAGGGCTGAGCAGGCCTTGGCAGGATGTCCACGTGCAACTGGAGGCCCACAGCTTTGCAAAGGCTGGACCAGAGGGCTCCCTAGAGGGCAGATCGCAGCAGCAAGTGGGCCACAGGGCCTGGGGCAGAGGACGTGGGCAGCCCTTCCAGCATCTCCAGGCCATGGAGGGCCTGTGCTCTAGCAGTCACTCGCAGACGCTTCCCCACCACAAACCCCAGCATACACGTGCTTCACTGCGGGCAGAGCTCAGTGGCCCTTTATGGAACCGTCTGCCTCTGCATACACCGCCAACACTAGGTTCACGATTGTACTGATGGTTATCACGCACCACAGCCTCTCACAGTTTCCGCTCTGTTCTAGCTTTATGTCCTGAAATGACGACCGCAGACACCCCCCAGTGCATCACGTCCAGACCTGCGCAGGTCCATGCCTGAGGCCTGGAGATGGCTCTGCACAGAGGAGTCAGTGTTTCCAGAGAAGATTCTATGGGGATGACCTTCAGGTCAAAATCAGAGGTGGCATGTGACGGGGTGCCCCAGGGGCCAGAGGGCTCTGTGACAGTGAGGAGAGAGAGACAAGGAAACATCTACTCCACGAGGTGAGAGGTGGGATCAGAAGATATGCAAGGCTCCTCCTCCACGTCCAAGATCGTACACATCAGAACAAAATTTTACCAGCACGTGTTCAAGCCCCATCGAGTCAGAGTGCACCCCCACCCTCCCTACCTGGAACACGAGGACACCCATGTGGGAAACAGCCAGGTTAATTCTGGCCCCCTCCCTGTCAGAAGCCGTGTGAAATCTGATGCCATACATTTCCAACTTCCGGGCAATTTCGAGCACCTGGAAATCCGACTCAGCAGGCGTCTGGCCCCTAGAGTAATAAAGGATGGCACGGTCACAGCACTGAAACAACTTCATTTCTCAAAAAGCCAAAACATACAACAGAATTGATTAGGAAGACAAAACAGAATAAAACAAACCAAGGCTGGAGGCTTTGTTTCAGAGCAGACTGGTCCCTTTAAGTTTATTGACCCACGGAAATGCAGCATACCACACACACAGACCAAAGAAATTGTCTGTTTCCTTTTAGCCTGTACTCCATTTCCTAACGGGCAGCATGGTTTTTGTATCCACTAGATGCTCAGCATTATACTTTGCCCTAAATACTGACACAGTCCCATGCAAACATTATACACAGAGACAACTACTAAATGCAGGAAACACCAAAGATAACATCAGTATCTCATTCAACCCATTTCAATACTTTTCCAAAACATTTTCATAATGTACAATTCTAACCATTAGAATATACTTTTATAAGGATAAAATTATGACATTGAATAGAAATGTTTCTCAAGTTCCCAGTCCAGTCATGCTTCCAGGGAAGAGCCCATGACCTGTGTCACATGCACCAGGCTCCAGAAGGGGGCTGTTCAGACAAAGCACAGCTGGGCCAAGGGGAGAGGGTCCTACTCAGAGGACCCCCACTCAAGGCCTATGTCCTACATGTGGGGCTCTCCATCAACAACCCTTCCTCTTACTTCCAAATGTCTGAGCTTTGGGATTTTTTTTTTTTTAAGATTTTTTTATTTGAGAAAGAGAAAGAGCACAGCAGGGAGAAGGAGAATGAGAGAGAATCTTAAAAAGACTCCCTGCTGAGCAAGCACTGAGGGGGATGGGGGAATGGCAGTGTTTGATCTCCAGACCCTGAGATCAGGATCTGAGCCAGTACCAAGAGTCCAAAGCTTAACCGAATGCACCACCCAGAGGCCCCTGAGTTTTTGGATCTTTAAGGAACAACACGACTGTCTGGGTTATGCTATTCCCACGGTTTCTATTCTTGGGCTAAAATTTCCATTCTTTGAGTTTGTTACGGACACCCTATCAGCTTACATTTAATAAATCATCACTAAGAAACACTGTGTGTGTGACAACTGTTTTCTAAGGTGTCCTAATGGGGAAGATCTTATTACTTTCTAAATTTTTTAAATTTTTAGTAGGCTCCATGCCCTATGTAGGGCTTGAATTTACAACCCTGAGATTAAGAGCTGTATGCTCTACTGATTGAGCCAGCCAGGCACCCCAAGATTTGCTCATCCCTAATGCTTCTAGTGACCACTGCCACAGCTTTGGAGCGGGGTGCCAGGAAGAGGTTGGGGGAGTTCTGAGGTGAAGCTAGAATCAGGGAGGCTAAGGGAGAGTCTGGTGAGGACTCAGAAGGAAAAGAGAGCAGAGAAAGCCTTTCTTCTCAGAGAAGCTCTAAGCCTTTGTGAACAGAATTGGGTAGATATGAGGATGGGAAAGGCTATTCTGGCGAGGTCTCAGAAGGAAGTGAGGAGTACACAGTATTAGAAACAGAAGAGAAGGTGATCCTTTTTTATCAAGTGGCACAAAATTTGGCTGAATTATATTTATATCCTAGTGTTCTGTGGAGGGCAGAACTGGCCAGCAATGGAACTGGAAGTTTAGCTGAAGAGCTCTCTAGGCCAAGTCGGGAAGGTGCGGCTGGGCTGCTCTGACTGCTGCCAGGAAAGCACAAGAGGGAAGTGCCTGAGAGATGGAAGTGGGGAACAGAGAGGAAACAGAACTTTAAGACCAGGAAAATATTCACCTATGCATACTGCAGAAAATGAGGACACTAAGGGTGTAGCTAAATGGCTGAGGAGATCAGTATGGAGAGAAGTCAGGACAGCGGGAGAAGGACCCCAAAGGCAATTCAGGTCAGGGCTGTCCCTCCCAACACAGGCCGGTGGCGAAGAGGGCAGGGGTTGAGGGCCCCACAGCCTCCACCAGGTCTCCAAGGCCAGGGCTGCCTGGAGGGCAGAGCACTGAGCCAAAGAAGATTATTCCTGAGCCTTAAAGTCTAAGGTCATTTGCCCTGCTAGCTATTGGGCTTGCCTGAGACCTGTTACCCTTCCCTTTGTTCCAATTTCTCCCTTTGGAGGGGAGTGCCAATCCTATGCTGTCCCCAGCATAGTATTCTGTTTTCACAGGTCCACAGCTGGAGGAGACTTGGCTTCAGGCAGAACCCTAGCTGGAGTCCCAGCCAGTCCTCATCAAGATGAGATTCAGGAGAGGCTGTGGGCCTGGGAGAGTTTTCGAGTTGGTGCAGGAGGTGGGGACGTTCAGGCTATTAGGATGGAATGAATATATTGTGCATGAACATGAATGTGGGGGGGGGTGGAATGTTACAGGGTGAATCAGTGTCTGTGTCCTCCAAATCCTAGGCTGCAGCCAAACCTCCAATATGAGAGTATTTGGAGAGGGGTCTTTGGGAGGGGCCCGTGTAGAGGACTCCTGAATATTAGTGGCCTCAAAACAGAGGCTCCAGGGAGCGCCCAGCCCCTTCCACCCTGTGAGGACAGAGCAAGAAATGCCATTTATGAAACAGGAAGCAGGTCCTCAGCACCACCAAATCCACCAGGGCCTCCATGTTGGACTTCTACCCTCCAGAACTGTGAGAAATCAAGGTCTGTAGGCTACAAGCCGCCCAGCCTGGGGTGCTCAGTTACAGCAGCCCCGAAGGACTAAGATACCAGCTTCCAAACCTTTTACTTCACTCTCAAAGATCCAAAAGAACTGTGATTTAAAAAAAAAAAAATTCCTTCAATATCTTATTCAGTGATTACTGAAGTGTGTTTCCAGTAGGCCAAGGAAGATGTTCTATACTAGGTAAGAAATTTATCTTGGTCAGGGAACGCATGGGTAACTCAGGCAGTCAAGCGTCTGCCTTCAGCTCAGGTCATGACCCCGGGGCCTGGGATTGAGCCCCGCATCGCTCCTGGCTCAGTGGAGAGTCTGCTTCTCCCTCTGTCACTCCCCCCCCACCTTGTGCTAATTCTCTAACAAATAAATAGATAAAATCTTAAAAATTTTGTTTATCTTGGTTAAAATGAAGGTACCACATTATATTTAAGAACCCACCACAAAAAATGATTTAAGGAAAAGAAGTACAAGTATCTGATGACTGGAAGATTAAGTCAACACATCAGAACCATGAGAGGGCCCCTGCTTGGCTCCGTCAATGTGAGCATGTGACTCGATCTGGGGGCTTGCAGAGATCACTTAAAAATTAAAATCTTGGGGTGCCTGGGTGGCTCAGTCGGTTAAGCCTCTGCCTTCAGCTCAGGTCATGATCCCAGGGTCCCGGGATCAAGCCCCACATTGGGCTCCCTGCCCAGTGGGGAGCCTGCTTCTCCCTCTGCCTGCTGCTCTTCCTACTTGTGCCTCTTTCTCTTCAAGCTCTCTGACAAGTAAGTAAGTAGGTAAGTAAGTAAATAAACAAATCTTAAAAAAAAGAAAGAAAGAAAGAAAGAAATTGTTCATCCCTTAAAAAAAATCTTTAGCAGGGGATTAAAAAGAATCATGGGAGCCCAGAGAGTGACAGCAGAGCTCCCATGCGCTTTCCTCCCATGGAATGAGCCCAGTTTTAGTCCTCTGATGAAACACATCACCCGATTTCTTAACTGGCTTTCACAAGTATATATATAAATATATACATTTATCTATCAGAGTGGGAGAGCGAGCACACAAGCAGGGAGGATAGCACGCAGAGGGAGAAGCTCAGCAAGGAGCCTGATGTGGGGCTTGATCCCAGGACCTTAGGATAATGACCTGAGCTGAAGGCAGATGCTTCACCAGCTGAGCCCCCCAAGGTTCCCCTTTCACAAGTTTTTAAGGCAGTCACCTTAAGACACACACCTGACACGCTGATACACATGCACATATACACACACACTGCGGGCACATGAGCACATGTGTGCAAACACACAGACATACAAGCACAGGGGCACGCACACATGTGCACAAGTGCCCTCCTTGGGGCGTCTTTGCTCGTGGCCAGGTGGCTCTCAAGAGTGACTGCTCACAGACCTTCACCATCCCGTCACCTCACTTCCAGTGTGAGCCTGGCCTTCACTCTGAACCTCACCTCACAGACACACTTGCATCCACACTCGCTTGGCCTGGTGCTGAGCCCCTGCCTGAGGGGCTGTGCCATTTCCTGACACGCTGCCCCTTGGTGTCCGAGGCTCTCTCCCTGCCTCACTCGCTGCCCATTCTCAGGGCCTCTGGTGGTGCCCCTTCCTCACTCACCCTCCCATGGCCAGGTTTTAGGGTCTGTCCTAGGTTCTGTTCACTTCTCCATCTGCCTCTCCGCCCCCCCCCCCCCCAGGTTACCTGCACAGCCTGTCTGCTCACATGCTGACAACACTCTGCCTACAACCCGGACCCATCTCCCTGCTGGTGCCAGTGCAGCGCCCCACCCCCACTCTAGGAATAAATCCTGAATGGGTCATCGTCTCCTCTGGGACGGGCATGGGACTCAGACTGGCACTGGGAGATGGCCCTTTGCTTCTCTGCCCAGGTGGGCTGAACTTTGACACTAAGAGATGCCCCAAACTGTGACATCCAAGATCAGGCCAGTGCCTACACTCAGTCTTGCCACGAGAGGAGGGTCACACATAGCCTCCTGTCAGCAGCAGGCACTGTTACTCGCCCCACTGCTTAAAGCAGAACTTCAGGTGGAACAGTGGGTGGCAGGCTGGGTCCACGAGCCTCCTCCTGCCCTTCCAAGCTGCTGCCTCTGCCTGAATGCCCCTCAGCAACCCAATGTGGCTAATTCCTCAAAGATGCCTGCCTACCCCAGCAGCCCAGCCACTCACCCTTCTCCTCACAGTGAAGGAGGCTCTGTCTGTTCTGTAGCTCACATTCCCTAACATACATACACCCACGCAGCCCAAGGCTGCCCCAATGCCGGGCACACAAAAGGCACTCACTCCCTAAGAACTGTGAGTGGCAAAATGCACAAGAAGCATGCAGTCTTGGGGGGTAATACAAAGTCCTCCAGGGTGAGGATCTTGGTCTGCTGTTCAAGCTACCCCCTCCCCCAGTGTGGACAGTAGGGACTGACAGACAGCTGGTACCCAAACCTTTGATGAAAAGCTGAGAGGGATCCCCGTGGAGCTTTCCCCACAAGGCTTATCTGACCAAAATAAACCTGCACATCAACAGGCCTCTTCTCAAGGACAAGACCAAGCCATCGGCCCCTCTCCTGTCCACTTTCCCTTTGGTGGGTTCAAGATGACAACCACCTCCCCCAGGCCCTTGGCCCTGGCCCTCCCTTCTCATGGCTCCTACCTGTACCTCTTTACTCTCAAAAGCACACCAGCGTCGAGAAACCTAAATGAAGTCACTCACAGGGCAGCTCTGTGATGCTCGCATCTGCCAGCCCTACCCCACCTCGTAGGAGGGCCCACAGACGCTCAACAGGCTTACCACACACGTCTCACACAACACTCCATAAGAATGCTCACATGCAGTTGCCCCTGATGCCCTGCCCTCTGGTCACTCTTGTCAGGGTGTGGATTCCATTCTAGCCTCCCCCCAGCAGTGGCCCCCAGGCAGCAGAAGTGACTCTGGTCAGGCTTGCAGAAGCCTCAGTGGTGGCTTCTGTTACGTAAAAACACTAGTTTGTCATGAAATGTGGTGACGGGGGCCAGCAGTCAGCTCTGATGGACTCACGTGTGCTTCCGGTGGAATTCCAGAATCTTTTCAAGAGAATGCTCCTGACTGGGCAGGTACTCATTGGCTTTGAGGTGCTCTCTGTCCAGGGTTTCATCATAATCTCCTATTTCCGCTGAAATGAGACAGTAACAGACAACGATTCTTACTTTCAAATAAAGAAAAATACAAGCATTTGTACATGCGAATGCATGAATTAAAAGTAGAAAAAAAATTATCCTAAATCTGTAGTAAAAGAATATATCCCTCAAATAAACAGGATCTTGTATTTTACTTTTCCACATATCTTAAGCTATTAAAGGCAAATAGGAAGGCAGGTAAAGAAGTTTCTTCCTGAGTTTTGAAGAATAAAGATGCTGGTGAGTGACCCCAAGGAGGCCTATGGTGAACCACCAGTCTATCCTGGGCAGTTTGTTGTGTCTTAAGCCACGCTTTATCCACCTGCAGTCTCAAGACTGTTGTGACCAGGAGCATGTTATCTTATTTTTCTCATTTTATTTGTTTCAGGACAATGTGTTTTAAATCATTTTTCCCTCAGAGCCTCTCAAATTCTTGAGGAACAATGTCTCTTTCTAATTTCATGAAACTTGAGGCTACTCATGTTTCAAGAATCATAGTTAAGCCCAATTACCTTGAATGAGCTGCTTTTTTTGGTTTTGTTTTGAGACAGCCTCAAATTCACAGCAAGGTGCACGCATAGTGCCCAGCAGGCCAGGGACCAGGACACTCGCGCCCAGCGGCACAGCACCCGCCTCACAACGGGACGGGAAGTCCTGGGCTCAAACTTTCAGACACGTTATTCTGCACCAGGTGGAACTCCAGCCTAGCAGCGGCGTGCTTCCCTCTTCCTCCTCTGTCAGCTGAGGACTCCATAAAGCTCCAGCAAGGCACAGGCTGCTTTCAGAACCTCTTCCTACGCCGTAATTCTCCCTGTTCTTCTGAGCCATCCCTTGCTCTGTGTGACATACTGAGAAATGTGTTCTTTCTTCTCAGGGTTTGATACCTAACTTGTCACCAGAGGGGCTGTGACGTTCATGCTAGAGAGGTCTCTTTCCAGGGGTGCTGAGGATCAGGGCTGCCATTTGGCTCCCAGACTGAACACTGATGGAAAATGCAAGAAGGCACAAAGGAGAGACATTTCCAAAGACCCTGTGTGGCTGCAGATCTTGGCCTTGAGCCTTTCTTTCTGGGTGGGGACTGCCTCAAGAACCTCCACTTCGTAGATGTTAATCTCCAGCTTATGAGAGGAAATAGGCAAATTAAAGGCCCGGTCTTCCTCACACTCATGAACCTTAAGGTGCTTCAGGTGCCAGTGGTCAATAGCGCTGTGCATTTCAGACCTTGGACGTGGCTGGTTCCTTCGCCCGGGGCAGGGAGATACTCACCTTGCAGAAGGTGGGATGCCAGGAGGGCGGCCGTGGTGTCCGTGCAAGGCAGACGCTCCTCCAGGAGGTCCCTCTTAAGTTGCAAGGCAAACAGGTATCTAGGAGTTCAAAACAGCACAGATGTCAACTCTGAAGGCTCTGGCGTGTACCCCCATGTCTGCATCACAGGAGAGCACAGAGCCCCAGGAAACAGCAGCGACCAGGGACATCGGAGCAGACCATGAGCGAAGGCAAAGTGACAGGAGGCCCTTCGCAGGCGGCGGCTCAGTGGACGGGGTCACGCGCAGTAGACTGCACAAACAGGAGCTCTCAGACGCTCGCCTTCCAAACACACCACACCTTTAAGGGGAAGCTCATAAGTTCTCATTACTTCAGTTACACACACAAAACTGCGCTCAACAATTCTGCTGTGAAAGAGGAGAAATATCCAATTAAGATATGGCTTTAAATGCAGCTCTAAGAGCTGTACACAGATTGAAGATATTTGGTCTTGGCTAGAATCAGAGAAACAGGCACTCCTGAATGGTAAGAATGTAACTAGAGAAGACAATTTGAATGTATTCATATATTCATTTATTCCATCAACAAATAATTGCTGAGCAAGTATTACAGTCCAGGTACTATTCCTGGAGGTGGAAGTACAATGCAAGACAAACTGTCTCCTTATTGGAATTTATACTCGAGAGTGAGTTTACAATTTAAATGTGCCCACCCTTGAACTTAGCAGTTTCACCTTTATGAAACTTTCCTGGAGATATATTTTCCAGAGTTTAGAAAGATACGTGGGCAAGGCTGTTTACTTGCAGCGATACAGCAAAGAAACACTGGAAATCATCTAATTGCACAAATAGGAATTCAATAACACAGACTGTAGCCACTCGCACCGCTGTGGAACACAGACTGTAGCCACTCGCACCACTGTGGAAAGACATCCATGGAACACCACATGTGAGTAGAAAACAAAACAAGAAACAACCAACCTAAAGTACTCTGCGTGCAGTGATACAGCTTTGTAAAGTATTGTTTTTAAAGACCCAGATCCACTTATATATCCTATGAATCCATCTGGAAGGCACAACTCAAGTGGTACTACTTCTGGGGACAGTGCCATGGGCAGAGAGCAAGGGCTACATTCACTTTCTACATAGCTTTACTGTGAAGTTTCTTCTTTTATCATGAATAGTAAATTTTTCTTATAAATAGAAACAAAGGAACTTCTGAATAAACATACCTTGGCCCCAGGACCCAGAATTAGGTAACACTTCCTATTCCTTGTTACTTTCCAGGTACATATATATATTTAAAAGTTATTCCCTCAAAGAAGACGTTTGGTAAATGTCAGGTACGTAATACACTATGAAAGTGAGCTCTGTATTCACTCTTAAAGACACTTTTTGCTGTTTTTGGGGTTCAGTCTTGTTACCCATCAAATAAGGGGGCTGGACTAATGGGATCCCAACATTTCCCTGAGGCTGACAGTCTGTGATTTTGTGATGTTACAAGGCTCTATAAAAATGTTCCAAGGAGAGGTTCATAAGATGCCTATGGTTCAGGCAGAAATCCATGTTTAGTCAGAAGGGCTGTTACTACTACAATGATATCATAGCTCTCTTTTATCTTACATCTGATCTTGGGTTTTGAGTTGGTACATAAAACACAAGGAAAAAGCTTCCATAATCTGTTACCAAGATGAAACAACTGTAAATATTTTCTTTCAGTTACTTCTGCCATAAAAGAAATCACCTCAACTATTTCTGCTCCATATATTCATAAAGACTTCTCCTAGCCAAGTGTACTTTGTACATTTATGATGGGTGAGACTCCTGAGAACCCACACACGGGCACAAACCTGTGCTCAGCTGGAGACTATCACTTTCACAGTACACTAACACATAACCCCCATCTTCATCCCCAAATTTTACCATAAACCCTTTTCTAAGCTCTGCTGGCATTTGTGTTTGTGCAAGGGTTAACTGCTTCTTTTAATGCTGCATGTGGGTCACAGCTTCTATGTGTGTTGTAGCTTCATTCATTCTGGGAACAGAGAGATCCTGAGCCCCTGATGAGCCAGGTGCAACAGGAGACACAGGTGAATTGTAGACCCTGCCAGCGACAGCGGTGTTTCAGAAGGGGCTACTGCACCTTGTATATTCTTCCTGCAACTGACCCGGATCAGGTGGGAAAAATTTCACCGCTAGACGAAGCAACGCGTTCTTTGGCCCTGTGAAAAGAAACACTTATTTAAAAAAAAAAAATTTTTTTTAAGATTTTATGTATTTGTCAGAGAGAGAGAGAGAGAGCACAATCGAGCTCGAGAGCGCATAAGCAGGAGGAGGGGCAGGCAGAAGGAAAGGGAGAAGCAGACTCCCTGCTGAGCAAGAAGCCTGATGCCGGGCTCCATCCCAGAGTCCTGGGATCACGACCTGAGCCAAAGGCAGACCTTCACTAAGTAAGCCACCCAGGCGTCCCTGTAAGGAAATATATTAAACTTCACAAGTAAAATCAATCCCACTATTTTTTGAAATCTTTATAGACTTAGTGAAAGAAAAATGTCATCACTCATTACACTGAACCAGAACAACCTGATTTCAGGAAAGAAAAAGCAGAAGGTGTTAGCTTATCTGAGCATCTTAGCTTTACTGAAATTTTATAATAACACAGCTATGTAATTTTCACCAAGCAGAAAAAAGAAGGTGTTGTGCTACAGGGCCACAATGACCTAAATGGCCTTAGGTCACCAGTGACTAATGAAGCTACTGGCACTCATCCTTCTCTCTCACATGGGACCAGACTGCAGGTGAATCTGGACCCTGGGAGAGCACCCTGTAACTAAGAGGCATTACTATGCATCCCAAATTTTAAAATTTAGTGGAGACTAACTAAAATAATGTTTATAATTACAAAACAGTATAAACTATTTTATTAAAAATGTAATTAAATTGTGTGTCAACTATACTCAAAAAAATAAAACCACAAAAAATAAACTTTTAAAAACTGTTAAAAAAAATTAAGAAGCTAATTAAAGAAGAAACTTAATGCCTTTTATAACTTGGGGGGAGAAACTGCATACTTATTTTTGCATACTGGCCAAAAATTAAAGTGACCCATCCAAGAGCATATCCTGTCACTGCTGCATTTGAGAACCACTGATTGTCCACAGCTGCCGCAGGCTGAGACTAAGCAGCACAATGACCTCCAAGTTCACGTGCTGTTGGCGATCAGCCCACTGCTCCCCAGGGTGCTGACAGTGAATATCTGAACATACAATGTGAACAGTCAAGAAAAAAAGCATCTTAAATGAACAGAATTTTAAAGAGTTTTTAAAAATGACTTACTTCGTACTTGCCTAATGATGGGCTTCATAGGTTCCAGCCAAATCTAAAAAGGATTTAAGAAAAGAGATCAAACCCATTCAACAATTTCTCTATTTAATAGCAATGTTCCAAAACACAGAACTGTTTCTAACTAGGAGACATATTTAAGGCTCTGCTCATACACCAGTCAAATCCTGACAGAACACCCAGGAGGGGCACAGGAGCACCTGCTTCGAAAAGCGTGGGAGGAGACGAGATGCCACACAGGCCAGAACCCCTGCACTCTGTCACGTGCACACTGTTGTAGCTATGCACAGCATGGGTACCAACCATTATTTTGGGGGGGCATCTGTAAGGCCAAACAAATCTTTGGTACAAAGTGCACCTGTAAACAACTACTGGACAAGAGTGCCACTGCATGAAGGAGTGGGCAGAGCTCTGTAACGCTGACATGCTTCCTGAATAGGCTGAGTTTGGTTTCTTGTTTCTTTCTTTCTTTTTTTTTTTTTTTTTAGTAGACTCCACACCCAGCAAGGAACCCAATGCGGGGCTTGAACTCACAACCATGAAATCAAGACTTGAGCTGAAATCAAGAGTCGGACACTTAATGGACTGAGCCACCCAGGGGCCCGATTATGGTTTCTTTAAAATAGTTCTACCTGTAAATATTAAAGTTCCACACTTTTCAAGGTTCATCTATCATGTCACATGAGGGATAACCAACGGATTTAATAGAAGTTTGCTCAAAATGATTATCATGCAAATGTCTAAGCAGTTGTTCTGGATTTCCTAGGCACACGTACTGGTGGGGAGAAGAAATTTAAGGAGAATGGGAACTTGGCTTAGCTAAAAGGCAATCGCAGTCTGAGTCTGCACAGTACAGCTGATAACAGCAACGTGACAGAGGATGTTGCCTATCACTGCAGCAGGTCCTCAAGAGCTCTCTGCGGTCACGTGCACTTAATTCCCTGAGAGCCCATCTGCAAGAATAAGGCAAGGACACATACCCAGTAGGACCGGGGGTGCTGAAACTCCAGCCCGAAGTAATCACACTCCGTCAGGTTCAAGCGCCTCCATACCTGAGTCAGCAACATCTGGCCATCGCGCTTAGGCTGTGAGGGGCAGGGAGGGGAACACAGGAGGGTGAGGGCCTTCCCTTGACACAGGTGTGTGAAATGCCATGCTGTGACCTGGCCTCCCCCATGTTAAACTCCATCTTACTGAACTCCTGGCTTCACTCTACCTTCTGTAAGGCTTACAAACTATCACAAAGCAAATAAAAGAGCCCAAGGCTCTTTGTACTCAGAAACTGACACCAGTATAAAGCGAGACAATTCCTCCAGTCTTGTGTTCTCAGTTGTGTCCTTAGCCATTTTTCTTTGTAACTTGAGGCATTTTCAGAATGCAGAACCCATTTTCAGCCTCAGAAAACATCTGAACAAACAATGTGATATTTACTAAAAAGGTGGGTCTCATACTCCATGTTTGCACAAGATCCAAGTGAATATTATTTGGTAACAACATTAGCAAGAACATGGACTGTTCAAACATGAGATGGCAATCAGCTCTCCATTTATTTTTAAAAAAATTTAAAAATATTTTATGTATTTATTTGACACACAGAGAGAGATCACAAGTAGGCAGAGAGGGGGAAGCAGGCTCTGGGTGAGCAAAGAGCCTGGCGGGGGACTCGATCCCGGACCCTGAGATCACGATCCGAGCCAAAGGCAGAGGCCCAACCCACTGAGCCACCTAGGCGCCCCAGCTCTCCATTTAGAAGAAAAATGGAATTAGATCCCTGGTCTGCACTGCTCACAAAAAAAATTCCGGTGAATTGAAGAACAGAACAAAACAGAGGAAAATATTTCTCCAGTCTTCAGGTAAGTAAAGTTTTCCTCAGTATAGCATAAAGACAGATCTGATTAAATAAAGATGAAAAACTTCTGAATAGAGAAACAGTGAACAAAGTTACAATTTATTTTATTTTATTTTTTTAAAAAGATTTTATTTATTTATTTGACAGACAGAGATCACAAGTAGGCAGAGAGGCAGGCAGAAAGAGAAGGGGAAGCAGGCTCTCCACTGAGCAGAGAGCCCGATGCGGGGCTTGATCCCAGGACCCTGGGATCATGACCCGAGCCGAAGGCAGGAGCTTTAACCCACTGAGCCACCCAGGCGCCCCACAAAGTTACAATTTAGAGTCATACTGAAACAAATTATAATTTATCTTTCGTATTGCTCTTATGAATTGGATAAAGACATATAAATGGCTTTTAGGCACAGAAAAAGGTACTCAAGCCCTCTAATAAGGAAATAAATTAAAACAGCAAGGTGTCTTTTTCCCCTATCTCAGAGGCCTGGGAGAGTGACGTGGTGCGGCTACGAGAAGATAGCCACGTCACATACCACCAGGCGAACCCCGACCCATCCTATCTTCTGGGAGAATTTGGAAACACCTCCACAATTAAAGTATACACACATATCTTTGCTCCAGCAATTCTACTTCTAGAACTTTCTCTTGCAGATACTCTCACACAACTGCACTCACACTGTATTTGCCATTTAGTACTGAGGGGGGGTGATGGGTGGGACTAGTGCTCTCACTTTTACCTTGCTGACTAAATTCTCTAATGTATAAATTTTTCATCAATGGCATCTGTCACCCCCCACCCCTTTTTCCTTTTTTATTTCTTTTCAGTGTTCCGGAATTCATTGTTTATGCACCAAACCCAGTGCTCCATGCAATACGTGCCCTCCTTAATACCCACCACCAGGCTCACCCAAGCCCCCACTCTCCTCCCCTCCAAAACCCTCAGTTTGTTTCTCAGAGTCCACAATCTCTCATGGTTCGTCTCCCTCTCCAATTTCCCCCAACTCTCTTCTCCTCTCCATCTCCCCATGTCCTCCATGTTATTCCTTATGCTCCACAAGTAAGCAAAACTATATGATAATTGACTCTCTGGTTGACTTATTTCACTCAGCATAATCTCTTCCAGTCCCATCCATGTTGATACAGAAGTTGGGTATTCATCCTTTCTTTTTTTTTTTTTTTAAAGATTTTATTTATTTATTTGACAGACAGAGATCACAAGCAGGCAGAGAGGCAGGCAGAGAGAGAGGAGGAAGCAGGCTCCCTGCCAAGCAAAGAGCCCGATGTGGGGCTCGATCCCAGGACCTGGGATCATGACCTGAGCTGAAGGCAGAGGCTTTAATCCACTGAGCCACCCAGGTGCCCCGGGTATTCATCCTTTCTGATGGAGGCATAATACTCCACAGTATATATGGACCATAATCTTCTTTATACATTTGTCTGTTGAAGGGCTTCTTGGTTCTTTGTCAGTTTGGTGACTGTAGCCATTGCTGCTATGAACACTGGGGTACAGATGGCCCTTCTTTTCACTACATCTGTATCTTTGGGGTAAATACCCAATAGTGAAATAGCAGGGTCACAGGGAAGCTCTATTTTTAGTTTCTTAAGGAATCTGCACACTGTTTTCCAAAGTGGCTGTACCAACTTGCATTCCCATAACAGTGTGAGAGGGTTCCCCTTTCTCCACATCCTCTCCAACACTTGTTCTTTACTATCTTGTTAATTTTGGCCATTCTGACTGGTGTAAGGTGGTATCTCAATGTGGTTTTGATCTGAATCTCCCTGATGGTAATGATGATGAACACTTTTTCATGTTCCTGTTAGCCGTTTTTAAATCTTCTTTGGAGAAATGTCTGTTCATGTCTTCTGCCCATTTTTTGCTCGTGTTTATCTGTTTTGTGTGTTTTGAGTTTGAGGAGTTCTTTATAGAACTTGGATATCAGCCCTTTGTATTGTACATAATATCTTCTCCCAATCCATGGGTTGCCTCTTTGTTTTACTGACTGTTTCCTTTGCTGTGCAGAAGCTTGTGATCTTGATGAAGTCCCAAAAGTTCATTTTCCCTTTTGTTTCCTTTGCCTTTGGAGACATGTCTTGAAAGAAGTTGCTGTGGCTGATGTTGAAGAGGTTACTGCCTATGTTCTCCTCTAGGAGTCTGATGGTTCCTGCCTCATGTTGAGGTCTTTTTATCCATTTCAAGTTTATCTTTGTGTATGGTGTAAGAGAATGGCTGAGTTTCATTCTTCTACACATAGCTTCCAATTCTCCCAGCACCATTTATTGAAGAGACTGTCTTTTTCCCACTGTATTATTTTTTCCTGCTTTATTGAAGATTATTTGACCATAAAGCTGAGGGTCCATATCTGGGCTCTCTACTCTGTTCCACTGGTCTATGTGTCTGTTTTTGTGCTAGTACCATGTTGTCTTGATGATCACAGCTTTGCAGTAAAGCTTAAAATCAGACAACATGATGCCCCCAGTTTTGTTTTTCTTTTTCAATATTTACTTAGCAATTCAGGGTCTCTTCTAGTTCCATGCAAATTTTAGGAGTTTGTTCCAGTTCTTTGGAAAATGCCAGTGAAATTTTGATTAGAATGGCACTGAAAGTATAGATTGCTCTAAGCAGTATAGACATTTTAACAATGTTTATTCTTCCGATCCATGAGCATGGAATGGTCTTCCATCTTTTTGTGTCTTCTTCAATTTCTTTCATGAGTGTTCTATAATTTCTCGAGTACAGATCCTTTACCTCTTTGGTTAGGTTTATTTCCGGGTATCTTATAGTTCTTGTAATTTCCCTTTCTGTATTTTCACTGTTAGTGTATAAGAAAGCAACTGATTTCTGTACATTGATTTTGTAACCTACCACATTACTGAACTGCTGTATGAGTTCTAGTAGTTTGGGGGTGGAATCTTTTGGGTCTTCCATATAAAGTATCACGTCATCTGAGAAGAGAGAGAGTTCAACTTCTTCATTGTCAATTTGAATGCCTTTTATTTCTTTCTGTGGTCTGACTACTGTTGCTAGGACTTCTAGTACTATGTTGAACAAGAGTGGCAAGAGTGGGCATCTTGTCATGTTAGAGACTGTAGTCAGAAATAAAGAAGGATACTACATCATTCTTTTTTTTTTTAAGATTTTATTTATTTATTTGACAGAGAGAGATCACAAGTAGGCAGAGAGGCAGGCAGAGAAAAAGAGGAGGAAGCAGGCTCCCTGCCAAGCAGAGAGCCCTATGCGGGACTCGATCCCAGGACCCTGAGATCATGACCTGAGCCAAAGGCAGAGGCTTAACGCACTGAGCCACCCAGGCACCCAGGACACTACATCATTCTTAAAGGGTCTATCCACCAAGAAGATCTAACAATTGTAAATATTTATGCCCCCAATACGGGAGCAGCCAACTACATAAGACAATTGTTAATCAAGATAAAGAGTCATATTGATATGAATACATTAATAGTAGGGGATCTTAACATACCACTCTCAGTAATAGATCATCCAAGCAGGAAATCAATAAAGAAACAAGAGCATTGAATGACATATTGGACCAGATTGACCTCATAGATATACACAGAACATTCCACCCTGAAACAACAGAATACTCATTCTTCTCGAGTGTATGTGGAACTTTCTCCAGAATAGACCACATACTGAATGAAAAATCAGGATGCAACTGATACCAAAAGATTGAGATTATTCCCTGCATATTCTCAGATCACAATGCTTTGAAACTGGAACTCAACCACAAGAAAAAGTTTGGAAGGAATTCAAACACCTGGAAGCTAAAGACCACCTTGCTTAAGAATGTTCAGATCAACCAGGAAATCAAAGAAGAACTTAAACAATTCATGGAAACCAATGAGAATGAAGACACTTCGGTCCAAAACCTATGGGATACAGCAAGGTGGTCCTAAGGGGGAAATACATAGCCATCCAAGCCTCCCTCAAAAAAATTGAAAAATCCAGAATATACCAGCTCTCTTTATACCTTAAAGAACTGAAGAATCAACAACAAATTATGCCGACCCCACACACAAGAAGGGAAATAATCAAGATTAGAGCAAAGATCAATGAGGCAGAAACTAGAGATACAGTAGGACACAACAATGAAACTGAAGCTGGTTTTTTGAAAGAATCAATAAGATCGATAAACCATTGGCCAAACTAATCCAAAAGAAGAGAGAGGACCTAAATTAATAAATTTTGAATGAAAGGGAGAGATCATGACTAACATCAAG